TCCTTTCAAAGCCTCCTTTCCAAAAATATTCTAATTATAATTACTTCACATCTGCATTTTATAATGCCAAATCATCTATGCTATATAAACACTCTTCTTTTCTTCTTTTTCTTTCTCTTCTTTTATTAGACAAATAAAAAGATCTTTAGTTCAAGATTGTCTATGTTTTACTGTTATAATAAATAAAGTTTGAGTTTTTTTGAAACAATCTTTTACGGGGGCCATAAGGTGTTCAAATTCGTATGGAGAAACTTTAATTAAAGAGTTTTTATTTTTGAATTTGCAAATTGATGCATACACATTTGCATTAAAATAATAAAATAAATATTTTTTTTTAATATAATCTACACGGTTTTAAAACGAGGATGCAAGTTGTATATGAAAAATATTGATATGAGGGACAACTCAAACTGCTGGACGTGGAAGCATGAAATTGTGACAATATAGCTTCCTTTTGTTACGTAGGCGTTATCTAAGATAGGATTAAAAAAATATAAACAGAGAGAAATAAGGTATTACAGTTTGTACGACATTTACGGGTTTAGTTCCTATTCGGTTGGTAAAAATGATTAAATAATCTTTGTAACTTGAAAATTGATATAATTACTTTTGTATTAAAATAATGCATTAATATAATAAAATAGGCATTTTCGAAAATGTTACTATAAAGTGTTGATATAATTATATAATGTTTGCATGGGAAAAATAGTTTTTCTAACTTGCATGGTGGTGAGACGCTCAAAACGAAATTGTGGAATTTATGAATATATAAATTTTTGGATTTCACAAAATCTGCCCCTATTCACCCTTAAAATGTGGGTCGATAAACCTTTATTTTTTGGGTTGAGATTAAAAACTAAGAAACATGTGTTTCAATATTTCTAAACATTCTACCCATAAAGGGGTAAAGTTAAAGATGAAATATGGTTTGAAATTGTTTTAATTATATCGTTGATAACAGTATTACAAGCTTTCGATTAGAAACTTAGTAACACATAGCAAAGGAGTTTTGAATAATCCACCCCTAACGGTAAAATAGAGGATGAAAGCTATTATAAAATATTAAACTATTTTGGGGCGGATTTCAATTAATCAATATATTCTATATTGTATCTACACCAATACACATTGAAAGAAAAACAAAGTTAAATAAATAATAATTATAATTTTCAACAAAAAGTAGAAACCTACTTCAAATTGCTAAAAAATAAAGTTATTTATTCGCAACTCTTAACGGTGGAATTTTAACTCCTAATTTATACGGGAGTTACGGGACCATCCTTAAAGTATATTTTTTTTATAGGATAGGGTGACAAACGAGCACACAGTCCACCTGATGGTAAGTGGTTGCTGCGGCCCATAGACATCTACATCTATCCTCGATTACGAATCAAAATGCAGATGCGTCGTCACCCGTGAGGACTAAGATAGAATGCCTCGTTTCCAGTAAAAAGGGTCTCCGGTTCTCTACACTCACCATACGAAATACAGCAGCATTAAGTTACTATTTCACGCTGGTATTCTGTGAGAGCGTGGTCCTTCCCCGGTCGAGCCGACCCATTCGTGCTACAACTATACTACTAATATAACTGCAGCATGGCTCTACCACGTATAAATCTATTAAAATCTATTTAAGAAAAAAAATCATTAAAATCGGTTTTTAATCTGCGAAGATATCATATGAAATTCATTAAATAATAATCCAGTATGAAACTTTCCCCTCTTTTTCCAGCCTTGGGGGTGGAGTTTTTTCTTTAAAATTTAATGGGACCACCCTTGAGGTAAAACCTATTTAATAAGAATTATTGAAGTCGCAAATCGTTCACACTCTGTGAAGATATCGCTTAATATACATACAAGAAAAAACATACACTAGAACTGAGAACCTCCTCTTTTTTGAAGTCGGTTAAAAAGGTCTTATCGCTCTTGAAGTGACTTCTAACTTGGCAGATTGTCTACCTTATTACACAAAGAATTGTTGACAACGAATTGCTAGGAGGGAGGTGTACATAATTTATACATTTGAGAGTTGTTTTTGTTATTATTATTTTTGAAAAAATAATTATAACAAAAACACAAGATGACATAAAGTATGATGAGAATTATAAGAGTTTCAAGTAATAAGCTTTATGTTGATTTTAGAAGGAAAAGAGGATCGAGCACGGTGACCACAGAAATATTAGGATTTCTGTGACGGCGACGATGTAGAGAGGCAGGGAGTTTCTCAAGCGTATAGCTGCAATAGAAAATAAACAATTGAAGAAGGTAGATGAATGTACGGGAGTACGAAGAGGCAGATTGTTAGAGTGGTTTTCATTATTCAAAAATCTTTGGTTTAACTTAAAATCTACGATTGTTATCGTTCCGAAATAAGTATCGGAAAGATTCCATGCGATAGCTTGAGCTCTCCGTATTATGTGATCTCATAATAGATATCTGGATGCTATAATGTGGATTCGGGTTTAATTTTTAGTTTGTTTATTTATGCCTGCGATATTCAGGCAATGTCATAACTTTCATACCTACTTTTTTTAAACATATGATTGTCAATAGTTTGTAATTTTCACAGGGTATTACAGAAGATGAAGTAGAAAATGTTCTTTGTTAGACATGAAATTATACTTATATTATTAACAAATAAATTATATTAAAACTTCATTTTTACGTTTACAACGGTTTAAAATTATTTTATTTCCCCATTTGTAAACATTTCGTCGTATAGGAAATCATTATCAATTTCTAGAAACAACAATAATTAATCACTCATTAGCATAGAGTTCAGTTGCATTGTTACATTCCAAAAGCGTGTTGCCTAGCTACACGGATGACTCGACGGATGTTCTACTATCTGTATGTTCCTTCTATTGATATGTCACGTTTAACGACATGCTAACATTGCATTTCGTTATCGTACCAGCTGAGTGATTGGACGCTTTTGTGTTTAAAATGGATATTTGTTTTAAATATATATATATATATATATATATATATATATATATATATATATATATATATATGCCGTGGTAGCTCAGATGGTTAGCGCTCGCTGTAAATATAACAGAACGCGAGTAACCCGGGTTCGATCCCCGCCGGCACCAATGAAATTGTTAATTGCTTTTAAGTGCTGATTTACCACGCGCTTGGCGGTGAAGGAAAACATTGTGAGGAAACCTGCATGTCTGAGGAATAAGAAAAAAAATATTTTCGAAGACATGTGAAGTTCGGCAACACGCTTTGGGGCAGCGCGGCGGACACTATCTTGCCCTAAACCCTCTGAGAAATCAGGGGGAGTCCTGTGCCCAGCAGTGGGACGTATATAGGCTGTAACTTTACTTTATATATATATATATATATATATATATATATATATATATATAGTTGTATAATATACTTATAAACAGGTTATTGTTGAGTATAATAATACAGACAAAAGCGATAATATTCTAATATATACAAATAAATAAAACTGAACTGTACGTTACTACGTTTGTAATGTCAAAATAACAGCTTTTTACTAAATGCATATAAAAGTATATACGGTACTAATAACAAAAAAAAAATTTTTTAAATTTTTTGTCTGTCTTTCTATCTGTCTGTCTGTTTGTTCCGGCTAATCTCCGAATTAGCTGGACCAATTTTGACGTGACTTTCACTGGCAGATTATCAGGTATTATAAGAAGTAACTTAGGCTACCTTTTTTTTTAAAGAAATGTGGTTCCGCACAAACAGTTAAACCCATGGAATCCAAACGTAATAAGTTCCAAGCGGACGAAGTCGCGGGGAACAGCTAGTATTCAAATATTATCATTTTTAAAGAAACATTCGTCATACCACACGACATGTGGTAGGTAGGCTAAACTAAAACGCGGGTTGTGTTTATGTTACGCGTTGCCCGTTGCTTCGCGTCGGCCGGTTGTTGTGTATAATGTTCCATGAGAGGCGATAATTATTATTATCACCACGACTAATGGCAGTTCATAGTCACTAGACATCGTCAATAATATAAATAGATTGGCGATTAATGCCGCCGTATGAACGTTTCCTTTATATATTAAATAGAGCTAATTTAAACGATTGTATAAATGAATGTCGGTGACTTCGAATTTCAAATATCAGGCGGTTGTATACGGTGAATTCTAATTTCCGCAAAAATGTCGGGTGTCCTCCCGTGTCGTTTCGCCCCTGCAGAGAGGGGCTTGCGAGGGGGTCGGGGAAGGATAACTTTACGCGAGGGTGGCGGCTGCGACTGCGCGGTAAAGGGCGACGCAACCCCCGGGGACGATCCTCGCCCGCACAACCGTCGCACCCTTCACCCTCTCCGGGCTCGATTATTAAGCACTCATTCAAGCTCTAACTCCCTGTTATTACTATAGCAACGAAATGTGTTGGCGGCTGATTTGGGCTAGTTTTGAAAGTTTGGGTCTCGAAAACAGAGAAACCTGTATAACCTGTATTAATATAGAACTAATGCCGCAAAATGCCACCTAGCAGCGTCGGATTCAGTGGAAAGACGTGCTAGGAGTAACTCATAGGTAACCTTGATTTGGTTGAAACCAATCTTGCCAACCTCGAGCACAGGCGCAGAGCAACCAGCCTCTCGGTATTCTATAGAATGCATTTCAGAGTGTGCGCAAGAATCACATGCATTCTTGAACTGAATTACGAGTATTCCTCCCTCTCCTTTCCACCTTCAGACAACCAGACGATCGGCGGGTATTCACCCCTGTGTTGTCGATATTCCACGCATTAGAACCAAACGGTTTGCTTCACCTTAGGTAACGCGTACAGCAAAGGAGTGGAATTGATCGGCGACTTTCCGTCCGAATATAATCTGGAGTCTGGACGTCTTCAAGACAACAGAGAATAGGCTTTTGTTGCGCTAAATTACCATTCACCAAATTTATTCAAATTTATCATTCAGGGTATCATCACCACTTACACCAGGTGGGGTCGTGGTCTGGCTTATAATAACTTAAAAAAAACTTATATAAAGCACTGACCGTTTGCGGAATGGGCTGCCGGCGATGTTGCTTCCTTGCTTCGGGCAGTTTCCTTCTCCTTACCATTATTACCTGTGTACAAAAAATATACTCTTTATAAATTGATTTTATGCCATAAATAAATAAATATTGAACGTATATTTATTCCTGTGGTAGAGGGTAGGGAAATTTAAAACATTACTACTTAAAATAGGCCTTTACAAGGCACTTTTAAAAAGTTAAGAAAGCTACAAGCCCCTAATGCGGGGGACTATCAGAAGTGGCATGAAAGTCTGTCTAACTCAGTCTCTTTAAGTAGAGTATTTTGGTTCATATAGTTACAATTTATTCGTGATATTGTATATACAAAGCCGGGGGCCGCACTCAAGGGTTCCTTCTCCTCGTCTTAATTAAAAAACAATTAGTAAAACAAGTCTAAGTAATCATGTGCGTCCAAATTATTATTATTGAAATATTAAACAGGAAGTTGTAATAGTAATAATAGTTATATTAATTACATCTAGCCAAAAATGTGCATCTAGTTTTTTGAAGCTTATACGCTGTTTTAAAAAGTTTAGTTTTATTGCACATGTACAGGTTATGTATATATATCTCATTTCGTCAAAGGTATTAAATTAGATTCTCACATAAATAATTTACTTATTTCCAAAAAGAGTTATTACGATGCAATAGACATGACATATTTTATATTGGAATCAACAGCATTAATTGAATAGTCTGAAAGGTAGAATATCATTTGCCGCCTTGCACTGCTGTGTTGCGGACTGAAATGTATGGAGTGCCAGTGTATGCTATGAGCTATGAGGGTTCCATTTTACTCCTCAGAGGTAACAAGGCATCTGCAGTCTTTTTTACCGACTTCAAAAAGAAGGCGGTATTCAATTCGACTGTATGCTTTTTTATAAATCTCAGAACTTTTCTCTGGGTGAACCATTTTGATGATTCTTTTTTTATCTGAAAGCTGATACATCTCGTGTGGTCCCATATAAATTCATAATCATGATCTGACAAGTAGTTTTTGAGTTATCCTTAAATAATGATTATTTATTTGACTGTTGTTCTCATTTTAATTATATATAGTCTGTTGCACATTTTTTCTTTAATTTTACCACTTGTTCAAAGAAGTTCTGTGTTTGAAGTTGGCAGCAGGCTCGTCAGTGGCAGCAGGTGTCAGGTGGACTGAAGCAAACGTACTTCAGTCCACCCGCCGTTTATATATTTGGGCATACATATTTTGTAATTATTTATAAATTTTTATAATTGATAAATTGAGGATAAAAAATTGTGATAACGATAAATTAAAGGAATACGACGCATAGTGCCATCAGATTTTATACGTTGATTGTTGTTGATGAAAATCGATTTTTTTTTAAATTTCGATTTTAAAAGTATTAAATTTTTGGAATGTAGAAAGTTAATTGGTCGGCGAGATTTGGCGTAATTAAAGTATATAATAAATAATGCACTAGATTAACAGTTCTGGTGCAGTTTTAAAACCAGTTATATTTCAGTCTAAGGCGGAAATATCTGGGCGCAGATAAGATGAGATGAGAGTCGGAGCGGCTAGGGCATAGGCACATTCTCGGGGCCGTCCCTTTTTGCTTCACTGCCTGTCCGACCGGTTCCCGGCGATCGTTCAACCCGCCTCGAGGCGTTCGCAAATTTACAAAGATCAATTTTCCACTTTCCCTAACAATGTATCCAGTGCTAATATAACGCGGTTCGTCTGTATAAAGTTGTAAACTGGTAGTGTAACGTCGACATTTTGATGTCAATAATCATTTAGCTGTTCTATTGCACTTATGACGTTATTGTTTTCTTTTTAAGCATGTATCTCTAATGGTAATTCGCCTTGTTCTTTATTTTGAAATAAGCTTTACAATGCAATTGTATTTCGAGATTACTATTCCTAATTAAAAATATATATTTAAGTATTTATAATCATGCTATAAAACTAATAACCCGATTGTAATGTATCTAGGGTTGCCACATTTTTAAAATAAAGTACAATTAAATATTTGGCTTGTATTGTCCCACATAAGATATAGTTTTTATTGCATTTAGCAACATCTTGTACAACAAATACCCGTTATTGTTGGAGAAACAATATCTTTACAATCTATGTCTAAGTAAATATCGCTGTTTTAAATACCACACTTACAGATCATCTGACTATATTCATGTGCATATCAAAACTTAAAAGCAAAACAATTAATCAAAAAATCATTGAGTGTGTAAATTTTGAAACTGCATATGAGAGGCTGCTCCAAAAGAACCTGGAGTTTTTGCTTCTTCGCGAAGATCCTGACTTAGTTACCAAGCGCCTTTTGCTATGGCTTGCGGAGTCATTGGAAGAGAGTAAAACAATAAAATACGTTACCAAAAACCCAGCAGAATATTAAACATATGTATATGTATATGTCTAAGTTAAGAAATATACATAATTATTTTTTAATTATGTAATAATAAGTTCTGACTATGTTTTTTTTTCGGTCATTTATCAGAGAAAAAGCTCTATCGTATATGCTGAAGTGGTGGAAATGAATAACAGTAATAACAAGATCTTATATTTTGTGAAATCATTACTATTTAGTAAAACATTTTGCTTTTTTTGTGAAGTGCATAAATTCAAAAAATCATCAAAATTATTTCCTTATATACGTACACAAAGCCAAAATATAGCTTCTTCATTCTTCTTTTAATAAACAATACAATTTAACTTTAAAAATTTAAAAAATATAGTTAAAATCGAGTATTTTTACGGACGTTGCGTTGTTCTCATATTACGGGTGGCAACCCTAAATGTCTCCGACTAACTTTGACTGTGACTCTGAGACCAAGGCGACGTCGACCTTGACAGTGGCGTTGACTCGCGTGTCCTCAAATCGCAACCAACCGTCGCGCCGCTACACAGCACATGGATCATGGACTAACCATAAGCATCTATGTTACAGATGCTATCGTAATCGTAAGTGCGCTTCAATAACGTGTGTCACCATTAGTCTATAAGTCAATTTTTGTTTTTAAAACTGGCAAATCATCAGATCATAGTTCACAAAATTTAGTTGATTTCATTCCGGTATAATATACCGCAACGCTCTAATTGTAAGTGCCAACTTCGTACCGGTCTGGACAACAGGAAAACCAATACCGGTTGCACTGATAATGCACTCTTCAAGCGGATACGCCACAAGACGAATGCTATGAAAGCAATATAATTTTTACCGTTTTATTGTTTTAGGAACCAAGCGTAAAATGATGTGCTATAATTAGAGTTGACGCAACGAACATGTGTGGAATCTTGTACGACTGTTAAGTTTAAATTGTATTCAAATTTTAAAACACAACCGTATTCAATTTTCGATTAAAATTTAATATAGATTTTGTATTTAAGATTTGATTCATGTTGCATGTCATCATTTTGTATTTAAATTAATACTAGTGAATTTAAAAATATTTGTTAGACACAAGATTTTGAATAAATACTTAGCCCACTTGTAATCAACAATAAATATGATAAAATTACGAAACAACTATAATATAAAGACATGAAATGTAATGATACAAAACAAATATTTTGATACAGATTTCATTTTAGTCTAAAGCCAATTATATATAGTATAGTACATATTATGTGTTAGGTATTTATTTATCTAGTAATAACTACTATTAGTAAAACTTTTATTTCTCCTAATTTTGTTACAATTTGATAATTCAAGTATTTATAAAACAGTAGTGATTTTAAGATGACGATATAAATATAGTTATAATAAATTTTAGCTAAATGAAAAGTATAATGATGAATATCTTTAAAAAAAGTCGTGTACTTTTGCACAGAAGTTTATGGTTCCCTTTTTGACACAGAAGATATTTGTTTAATTTTGTAATTTTATTGAAATTTGATTGTAATAGGCTTGGACGTTGGCACAAAAGATCTGTAAGTGAAGTGGGCGTCTCATCATATTGAATTACTACGAGGCCGTACTCGAGCGTGTGATACAAAAGGATACCATTAAGGTTAAGCTTGTAGTAATATCACGCACGATAACTTACAATTTATTTAAAATCGTTTAACGCCTCGCATTAGGCATTAGCTGCTAGATTTAAAACAAAGCTTTGTTAGTGTTATTAATACAGAGTATAAAATAAGTATCTAATTGCTTTACTTGTCCATTTGTTAGACAAGTGTGTAAAGTTATTTTGTTAAGTTATTCACTTCATCGCACTTTAACATTGTACTAAAAAGTTTATAAGCTACATAATACAATAAATTTACAAAAAGGTGTGTTCTTAATTCTAATTATTGTTGGAAATAACATGTCTAGGAGACTAGAATACGGAAGTTAAATTAATGTTTGTAGAATTTTGTTTGTCTGTGTATTCACGATTCACGCAAAACTACTGGACGGATTTCCATATGTTAAGTAGTGTAGGTATATGTAGTGACCCTCGACAACATAATAGATGAAGGGGTGTTGACGTTTTCCCCTTTTTTTAGAAGTTTATTTTAATAATCACATAATCAGTGGCGTACTGGCGTAGCATGGGTAGCTGCTAGCTGCCACCCGGGAGCCCGGGCTGTAAATACTATTATCATAACCAAAGCCATAAAAAGCATTTTATCAAGTCCCTTAAGCCTCCTTCCCATTCTCAATCTTTTTTAAACATATGAAATAGGTAAGTATAGGTGTAATTATTAAATAATAAGTATACAATTGTATTATTATTATGGAATAATATGATATATATATTTTTTAGAAGTTTATTTTAATAATCACATAATCAGTGGCGTACTGGCGTAGCATGGGTAGCTGCCACCCGGGAGCCCGGGCTGTAAATACTATTATCATAACCAAAGCCATAAAAAGCATTTTATCAAGTCCCTTAAGCCTCCTTCCTATTTTCAATCTTTTTTAAACATATGAAATAGGTAGGTACAGGTGTAATTATTAAATAATAAGTATAATATTGTATTATTATTATGGAATAATATGATATATATATCTTTGTTTTTTTTTTCGAAAGTAAAGTGCTTGAGTGTACCAATGTCATTAAATATTTTTTAATGACTG